ATGGTAAATAATATGTCAATCATATTCAGTCTCAAATGTACAAGTTCTGACAAATTTAGTTAATGAAGATTTATGATTTCCTTAATTTATAGACAGTCTTTGCAGAGAGCTAGTTCCAAAGATACCTGAATGCAAAGCAGCCTATTAAGGAAACCCCAAAAAATAATAAGAGTAAATAAATAATTAAAGCCCACTTAAACTCTATTTTTTATTAGAATTAATTATGTGTGATCGCACATTGTTATATTGCAAAAATAATCTCTACCTGACCATTCTTAGCTGATATTTTTTATGAAATTGTGAAATAGCTAATTTGAATTATGAACCTAGGATAAAAACCATATTTTCAATATTTATTCATATTGAAACTAAAAATGACCGAATTTTGGACTGCACATTGTATAAAATTATTCAGTGGTATCGCTTCTTAGACTTTATTCCTATAAGAAATATCGAGGCTGTATTCAAAAAATGGTTATTTTTAGAAACAATGGTTATTGACGAACTCATTCTACTCATCTAACTTTGTTGAACTTAAAGTTGCAGGCGAACAGCAAATCAAAGTTAGCATTTTGTTGGAAGTGATAATAGGACATTAGGGAAATCAAAAGTAGGGTCCATTCAAGATGAGGAAGTCTATCAAACAAACCATCGGTATTAAGATGTTGTAGCCTTTTGTTTTACCGAAGTCTCTTTTGGCTGTTTAGTTTTGGTTTGACCTCGTTTTTACAATTTGGTCGTAGCGAGAGAAAGTATTCATGATGATTTCCACAATGTCTAGCACATAGTTACAACTTGTCAAGGCAATTCTTTAGAAACTGAGACAAAAATCGAGGCGAGGAGTGATACCACAAAAGCTGAAAAAGCCTTCACTTCTCACTCTGACAAATTGTAACTCTGTGCTAAGCATGGCGTCTCTATTGACGATGCCGACTAGGAAGCCACCGAAACGTCTGAAAATGTACCAAGTCAATGGTCTGATGCTGGAAATCATTATGAATAGTTGAGGGCAGAGACGCAGGACTAAGTAGATTCTACAAAGTCTTCCTGTTGCTTCGAACAAATTGCGAAAACGAGTTCAAGCCAACACTGTCCAGCCAAAGAAGACTGCCACCAAACAATAGTCCACACCTTCTTGGTCTTCATATCTACGATTCAAAATCACTTTTCAGGCAAAAACTTAATGGAAGTGGGTTGACCTCGTTGTCGCAACTTGGTCCTGTTGTCAGGGCGATTATGTAGAACCCACCTGGTCCGAAGTCGTCTGCCATACTAATTGTCATGATTCCCACCATCTGACAATGGACTTGCTACTCGACAGATGCTGGCAATCATGAAAACTACTACGGCGGACGACATCAGACTAGCTGCGTTCTACATAGTCCCCCTGACAACAAGACCAAGTTGCGACAACGAGGTCAAGCCATTTGTATAAATCGAAAGGAGACTGCGACCATACCAGAGGCCACAACATCTTGGTCTTAATATCTTCAAAAACTATGATGACTTGCTCTTAGTAGTTTCTAATCAGTGCATTATAATTTGCGGTGTCTAGGCTGGCATAATCTGGCGGTTCCATTGGAAGTCAGACTATCCAGCCTAGTTTTCACTTTACTTCTGTCTCTTCGCGTAAATGAGAAATATTTTTTTGTCCAACTCACTTAAATTTTAGTGAAGCTATAGGTCATATATATGTAATTATATTTATTAATCGGCCTAATAATTTAATGGCATAAAAATGCTCTTCAGCTCAGAAGAGCCCTATAGTTTAGCACCTCGAGCTATAATGTATTGCTGAGTGGTTGCAAGTCGAGTCAGATCGTATAGTTGACTGATCACTAGTGAATAAAAAATATTAAAATAGCTTGCTATTAAAGACTCTTTTCTTGGCCATATTTACTTTAGCTGATGCATCACATGCTCCAGATACGAAGGTACGCATGTCTGGAGCCACAGAAAGACTCATGACGTCGCCAGTGTGCCCGGTAAAGGCGGCCAATTGTTGACCCGTTTCAATATCCCACAGTCCGCTGAGGATAGAGATATGAAACAAAATAAAAATCAGTCAAAGTGATCCAATTACGGGTAGGATAAAGCTCGAAATTAATGGGTAAAATAAAAGGAATAGTGAATACAGCATTTGTATGCAACCACAAATAACACATGGAGCTGTTGCCTAGTCTATCCAAGCCCTCAGCGCATTAGCTCATTTCCAATATTTTTCAAAAAATAAATAGTCTTATTATCTGATGATTCTTGCCCTTAAAGTATTTGGCAATACTGGCTCTTTAAAAGCGCTGATTGTTAGTCACTGTGACGTGTATCTAACGCGCTAAGTCGTTAGCTATTGCAATCATAGGTCTTCTAGAATATAAGCATTGACCAACTAAATTGTAAAATTTTTCGTATTTAAGTGGAGTTTCAAGACTACCAATGGGTAAAATCTACTACCCACTACCTTATCACCTTAAACGAAATTGGGCCAATACATCTCATATTAAATTAAAGAAGTTTTCAAGAAATTTTAATAGGCCTCAACAGTAAAGGATGTGATGACGTTAGCGGAACTGTCTTGGTGCTTTTGAGGCTTTCTCCAAGGACGATACTAATTTAAGTTTCTACGGAAGGCTTGGAAATGTATCTTGTCGGCGTTCCAACACATAAATCAGATAGAAAATGACGCAGTCCGAAGTACCTTCGCTGAATTATTCCAGTAAATGCGACCAAGGTTCGAGGACAAGATTAAACTGGGTTTGTATATGAATTCTCAATTAGTGGATAGGATGAAGAGGAAATAGATTTAATTGCGTTAAAATGTCATCATTATCAAAGAATCAAAGCAAATAAGATCTAATATGGAACAAATAAAACATAAAGTAAATAGCTAGATGATCCTATTATTTAGGGTCCATTAATGATGATATGTGGACATAACCAAAAATAGAAATGTGGGAAGCCTACTTCGATAATAAACTAGATAGAGAACACTCCTAAAAGTATACATGTGCTCTAAAATAATGTCAAAATTTTAGTTAAATAATAAATTTAAAGATTATTAATATGATCTAAGATATGAAGGGAAGGATGCTGTGACCTTTTGTATGGTCGCGGTCTCCTTTCGTTCTGTAGAGCTTGTTTTCGCAACTTGGTCATATTGGCAGGAAAACCTGCAGGAACGCACCTAGTTCGGAGTTCATAGTATGCATGATAAGTTCCAGGGTCAGAACGTGGAAGTAGTACATTCCCAGACGTTTCGCCGACATCGTCAGTGAACCTTTTATTCTTAGCACCACACTGAAACTCATCAAAGAGAGAAATAAAGTCGATCCTTTGACCAAATGTGTTATAAAAAGTTGTGGTATCTCACCTACTGTCCTGGGCTATTTACTTTTCATATATCCTCGTATCATCCCTTCAATATCAAAATTTTTTACTTGTTTGGTTAAACATATTTGAAATATTTTCATACTTCCCATGGGTCTCCTCCTAACTGTGCCCCAAGTGTTGATCCAAGGCTGCGGTTTAATCGGCAATCCTTCCTCTTCGGGTTCTATCAGAGTCCCTTCTTGCTCCATAGGATTCTTCCCTTATCTGCCTGTTTCAGTAATTTAATTCCATCGCTGCCACCGTATCCGTAATACCCAAGGCGTTGTATTACACTCTGTCTTAAGCCTTTGATAAC